AAGGAAGTTTTGCTTTCCATATCATTGAAAAGGGAGAATTATCATTTAAACAATACTCAAGCTTATTAAGCAAATTTTTAGAAGCATTATAAAGTGTTTAATTTTCATCAGCTTCAAGGTTTATGTTGCTCCCAAATTTTACATGTAACTGAACTTTCAAATCTGCTAACAATCGGTGAATCTATTCCACTCCGGATTCTAAGTCGTCAGTTTCTTCTTGCAAATGTTTCTTTGCCTCTTCTAACATTTCTTCTTGAGAATGGCTAATGCAAACATCACCAATTTGATAAAGGTACCATCAAGCAGTCATCTGCAAGCATGGTGTCCTCCAAATTTTGGAGTTGTTTCTTTTTTATATCTACTTCTTCTTTCTGTTCTGTGATTCTACTTGTATTCTGTGCAGATCTGTTTATCTTTTGTTGATTTTCAAAAGTAACATTGACATCTTCTGCAGCCACCCTCTTCGTGGTGGCCGCAGTCTTGGGACTGGACTATGGCGTGAAACCTGTATCATTTACATGTATTCTCTCCCCAGCACCACCAATGCTGAACCACAGTTTCCACAGGGGTTCAATTTAATAGCGGAATCAGGTGTAGTAAAAAATACATTATACTGCTAGCCTCTCTGCACACCCTCTCACCCCCAAAAGAAATGCTAGCTTCTGGGCAAGAAAAAAAAAATGTCTATGTTAACAGACTCTCAGACTTGGAAAGCAAATGTGACGGTTGCCTAGCCCAGTCCTCCCCACACTATACAGTCATTCCTTCAACAATGACCCTAACAAATTCAAGTAACCTTATTGAATACTTATAGTAATGGGGAGCTCAGTATTGTTCAAAGCGGTCCACTTGAGGTTCCACAGCCCTGACTGACATGCCTACAGAGAGCAGGAGTCTGTTCCGCTCTTGAGTCCCAGTGTCCTCGAGAACCACATACACCTTACATGTGAAGGCCCCGTACACATGTATCTGAAGCCCCCAGTGCCCAGATGTCACACCAAACCCCAGGCATAAGAGTTCTCGGTGATGAACCACCATACAGATTCCATCAAGGCCAAAAAGAGAAGCAACATCAAGCTCCTTATGAACTGAAGAGATGATGTCCTCAGCTGTCTTTCAACCATGCCACTCAGCTGTTGAGGAAGTAGCAGAAATCTCTAAAATGTTGTCAAGACAACCAAAGTCCAAATACAAATCTCTTTGGGATTCCACTCGGCAGCAGTTTTTAAGTGTACGCCACACACCCAGAGAAAATAATAAAAGAAAGATCCTCTCCTCCCACCCCTTCTTTCTTCCTCTCCCTTCTCTCTCTCTCCCCCCTCCTGCTTTCCACCACGGGGTAATGTGTGTTAAAAATGCACACTGGGAAGCTTTCCACCTTTGGGACTGGAACAGCTGCTGCCTCAATATTGTTTTTGTTAGGGTTTTTTTTAACATACTTTGCTGTTTTTAAGGGAGTTGTTTTTAAGCTACATGTTTTATACTACTTGTTGAGATTACACAGTAGGACAATTGGCACTCTATTGACAAAAATGAGACTCATGTGGTCCTAGGTGTCCAGCAAGGACCCATGTCAAACACACCCTCCCGCACGGCTAGCTTTCCATAGATGGCCCGATTTATCCCAAGAAAGGTCATTCACAAAGGCTTTGGGATAAACCCGAGGAAGTACATCCATAAGAAAAATGAGAGCCAAGAATTTATATCTAAAGAAATGCAAGGTGCTTGAGTCCTTGGTTTTTCCAACAGCACAAAGCATTCAGAGAATGTTCCACAGACTATTGTCAATTCCATGTGGGAGCATTCACCAAAAGAAATAAGATCAGACATACCCTAACATCAGGGCTCTGAAAGGCACAGGTATGGGGGAGAAGACACACCATCCGGCCCACTCTCACTTCCACCTGTTGCAAATCACCCTCCTGTCAGGAACCTCTGACCCCACCAAGAGACTACAAGCTAAGAGAGAGAAAAGGCTGCTCTGCCTACGCCTAAAACAACCTTAGGAAGGGCATTCCCCAGTAATCACTAAGCAATCAGGGCTAAAGATCACGCACAAAAAGACAGCCCCTCAACCTCTCCAGTGAGACAGCGAGAGTCCGGTTAGGAGGCCCACATTTTCCATGACCTTCCCAAGGGGGGCCCAACAGAAAGTGATCCCACCAGAGGGTGTGGCTGCCAGGGTCTTGGTCAAACTGAGATGTCAGTGAGGTGTGGCACTGGCTAAAAAACAGGAAGCTTCGAGCTAGCCACATGCAAGATTTCACAGACCTCCTGACACAAAGAACAAAGGAGCTCGGGGTTCCTGTAAAATTTCTAAAAGGACTTGTGGACTTTCATAAGTCCAGCCACTGACCCACAGAGTTCTCTCTCAAATCAAGACAACAAACACAAGGCAGTTACAATGGCTCTGACCTCACCCAAACGCTCTCTCACCCAAAGAATCGCCTTATTGGGGTGAGCAATTGATAACATCGCCTGTCACACACATCTTGCCCAGGACAGCGAAACCCAAAGCATTCAGAGCAATTGATAATACGTGTCAAAGTTGCTTCTTGATCCCCTGGGACACGACATTCCAAACATTATTTGGTGTGGATAATAAGGTCATTGGCCTTTCAAATGAGAGATCCTCTGACCTAAGTAAGGCTAAAATCTAGAGCCATTCTCAAAAAAAAATGCCATGACATGTGTGGTATGATAGGATTTGTGCTTCAAGGCCTCTGTTTGCCCAGAAACATCTTCCTGTTCTGTGGCTGCACGGTTCTTTTCCAAGCTCACACTCCAACACCAACAGAGTAGATCACTGCAAAAATCACGCACACAAGGGTGAGGCGCTGTGTCCAGGAAGCCCCTAGAAGTTTAGTTCTCAGAGATGAGAGAAAAGAAGTAGAGGGGTTTCTTCCAGCTTTCTTATCTGTCAAGCTTCCTCACTGTCACCGTGGAGTCACAGGCTTGCAGGGAATGGTCCCATACATCTAAGACCATCTGATACAGTCTTCTGCCTTAAAAGGAAGGCTGTTATTATATCCATTTTATAAATGAGGTGACTAAGATACTTGTCCAAAAATGCACGGCTAGCGAGTGGGAAAGACCGAGAGCCCAGGTTTGCTGCCTCCTGGTACAGGGCTCTTTCCATCTGATGTTTCCTTACAGAAAGATACAGAGACTTGTCAAACAGTGAACTTGAAAATAACTCATGTGATGGGGCAGGGCTCGTGCACTTAAGCAGATGACAAGGGAGAAAACATGGGGGGGCAACTATTTCCTACTTCATTTGTTCTCACGACCCATCCTGACATACACAACACGCGTGCAAGTTGCTTCTTGGTTTCCTGGGGCGTGAAATCCCTCTAAGTCTTGGAAGGCCTTCTAAGGGTCCCAAATGACTCCTCACAAGGAGAACACGGGCCTCCTGGAACTGATGCCCCGACCACCTCACGGAGCCCGTCAGGCGGTGAAAGCTACCCCGGCGACGCCGCAGGGAAGGGTCGAGGGGCAGATGAGAGCCGCATCCACTCAGGCCGGCTGCGGGCGCGCCGCGCGGGGCGGCC